AGGTCATTGTACGACTGTATAAATAAGCCCCTTCCTCGTAACAATGACATGTCAGTAAAAAAGTAATGGTTACTGTTTTGTAGAACACGGTGGAATTAATGTTTACATAACCGGCTTTTTAAGCCAGGCCTTCACTGGCCTTTACAGTATGCCAGAGAAAAACAAGGGAATTGGAAATTGTACGAGAAGGGCTTATTATACATGTAAAGTGTTGTAGAACCTGGATTTAATGTACGTACCCGTGTTGCCTGTTTGAAATGATGCAGAGTGGGACGGCATTCCAGCCCAGAGGAATGCCGACTATTCCACAATCCACACTCCTTCCATTAAGTCTGTGACACAACGCAACACACACAGAGCTATGTGCAACTCTAAATTAGCGCGACTGCAGTAACTTGTACCTTTGTAGTTGGGGCATCAAAGGTCTCCATCCTTTGCAGCTATATATATACTCTCCCTAATCTGAACACAAGAAAATCAATAAACCAACTTCAAAAACTGATTGTTTTGGCATGTTATAACCTTCAATTCCAGACTGCACAGAAGCAGCCAGCCCAGCCTTCCCAGAACCATTTACCAACGCCTCCTTAAACTACCATCCTCCTCTATCGTCCTTCTTTATAACCGCCACTTGAAAGAGAGTAGCCTAATTGGAGCGAGCGATTTAAGGGTGGTAGCCGAGGCGACGCTGCATGTGCAGACGGCAAAACGAAATTCGGCTAGTACCGAGTTCTGCTTGTAGCGTTGACATTAAGTGGGTCTGCCCTTCTGCAGCAGGCAGTGTCGCGGACCCCGACATCGGGGAAGGGTGAATAAGCTGCAGCGTGCGCGAGAAGATAGAGAGGTCGAGTATACTTATGTGGGTTAGGATGCATGGGTAGGTTGGCTGCTAGATAAATAAAGTAGACTTTATAGGGATCGCAGCACACACGGTTATCTATGGGTCTTGGACGCAGTCGATCTACATCCATCGACAAGATAGTCCTTGCGATCAGCACTTCAGCACTGCCATTCAGCGTGCAAGCAAGATTTGCGTCCAATATATATTTAACATGAGAAGAGGCGCAAGCGTTATTCTGCTTAATAGAGTTCAGAAGATGAAGAGATCACACCGCCCAGTCTGGATCACTACACCACCACCGAAGCCCGCTATATTCGCCTGCCTCTCACTCTCAGGAAAGTGGTGCACACCGCATTCAATCCGGAAAGGTGGAAGATAAATGACGTGCGGCGTGTATGCTTCGCTTATGCAACCCAGTTCAATTCCCGGATTTGAGGCAATACACTTGTTCCAGATTATTTGTCCACACTTCTCCATCTCTCGCTTAGATGTTTGTCCGTCACAAGTGTGACTGACGTAAGTTCGGAGTGGAAGTGTAGTCAAATTGGTACTTTATTAGCTTGAGGCATATTTACACTAAGGTAGTATAAGGTTATATGGCGAGTCAGTGGCTCTTCCTTGGACGCGCAGGCCGTGAGAGCGTCCAGCTATTGGGGGCCGTGAGTAGATTACACCATGCACGTTTGCAATAAATGGCTTTGGAGCTCCCTTCCGTGGTTTCGGACAGTAGCAGTTTTGGTGGTTGTCGTTGCCCACCTTTCTCTATTGCGACAGTTCTGAACCGTCATGATTGTGCTATTTGTGACGTTTTTACGGCTGCATGTACAAAACCCACAACCAACGACAAACTTGTAAGGCAGAAGACAAGGCAAGGACACCCAGGACAGGACAACTCGGTAAGCCTAAATTTAGTTACTTCGGCTACATTGGGAAAAGAGGACAATATAAGTTGCAGTCTGTTTCTACGTGATAGGCTCAATCTCAATGGTACCCACCTCACGCTTAACAGGGCGTATATACCTCAGACATGCTCAAAATCGCGCACCTCAGGCTCAAAATTGCCCACCAGGCTCAAAATTGCGCACCTCAGGCTCAAAATTGCCCACCTCAGCCCACCTCAGGCTCAAAAGTGTGCATCTCTGGCTCAAAACTGGCTCAAAAGCTCAAAAGTACGCATGTCGGGTTCCACAGTACGCACCTCATTCTGAAATCTCTCGAGAGTTAGTTTCCTCTCCATCTGGTCGAAGACATGGGCGTCTGCGGCGTACTGTCCCTCCAGTAGAGAACGCCAACAGTTGGCTGCGTCTCTGTTTGACTTGGACAACACGATCCGCAGCAGCTTTTTGTCCTCTGTACCAGAAACACACACATGTCACACTTGCATCTATACAGCCTTGTGTACCCAGCCCCTCTCTTGTGGGAGCCAAATAAATTGCAGTGGTAATAATACTTATGATTAGTATGTAGTTTCGAAAGTAAAGCATCACAGATCATAATATATGCCCACGAGAATCTGAACGCTCTCTTCGCAGAATACAATGTTTGTAGCTTCAGACTACCGACTATGTTCCATGACAACTCACATACGCAAATATCATGTACAGTTGTTCAAAGGTCACTTTGCTCGCTAAAAATGAATTACAGTTGTTTTTGTTATAATGGTAGCCACTCACCTAGTGTCCATATACTGTCATCGGTTATGACCTTTCCACTCAACTTGCCCTATAAAAGTTGCAATTTTCATGAAAAATTCAGAGTTAATTTAGCGAAATTGCATTTATACACCATTATATCGTGTGTCCGTGGGGGTCCGGTGATACCTTAAAAATCTGCTGGTGGTTGACAGTCACAGATATGGAGGTGGGTGTCATGTCGCAACGGATGTTCTGAGACTTGGTTCCGTCTGGAACATCGACCTCAATGAACACTTCCTCTATTGTTTGAGCCCACTGGCCCCATTCCGTACTGCAGTACACCACTCCACTCCGCTCGTCAAAGTGGGACATGCTCTAAAAGGAGAAAGAGGGGGGAGGGAAGGGGATTTTCATCGCACTTCGACCTTTACGTAAGGTGCGCTTTATTTAAAATTAGAAACTTGCTTCACGTGTCGAGGCTCGTGCTGTCGAGCACTTTCGATGGATGTAGCGGGCAGAAAGATGCTGTGTCGCTCCCTGGCACTATATTTAGCAGCCAGACCTGCTAACCCAGGGCTGCATCTCGGCCTCGCACGCTGCAGTATTCACCCTCCCCGATGTCGGGGTTCCGCGACACTGCTGCAGAAGGCAGACCCACTTATTCAACGCTACAGAACTCGACTAGCTAATTCGTTTGCCGTCTGCACATGCAGCGTCGCTCGGCTCCCCCTAAATCGCTCGCTCAATAGGCTACTCTCTTTCAGTGGAGGTTATAAAGAAGACGATAGAGGAGGAGGTAGTGAAGGAGGCGTGGTAATGGTTCTGGGAGCTGGGCTGCTGCTCTGTGCGGCTGGAATTGAAGGTAATACATGCCAAAACAATCAGTTTTGAAGTTGGTTATGATTTCTTGTGTTCAGATAGGGAGAGAGAGTTTGTGATAGCTGCAAAGGATGGAGACCTTGATGCACTACAAAGGTACAGTACTGGAGTGCGTATAGAGTGCACATAGCTCTGTGCGTGTGCGTGTGTCACAGACTAATGGAAGGAGGTGTGGATGTGAATAGTCGGCATCCTCTGGGCTGGAATGCCGTCCACTCTGCAGTCATCAACAGGCAACACGGGTACGTACATAATCCAGGTCTACAACACTTTACATGTATAATAAGCCTTCTCGTACAATTCCAATTCCTTGTTTTCTCTGCATACTGTAGCCAGTGAAGGCTCTGGCTAAAGCCGGTCAAAGCATTCACAAAGATCTGAAGCCATTAGAAGCCTGCATCACACACACTATACACTGTGTGAACAACCCATAGCTCTTATGGACAGTTGCTAAGGCCAGCCTCAAGATGTAATGGTGATTGTTTTCAGAGTGGTTGAGTTCCTACTGCGCAAAGGTGCAGATGTCAATGCAGAGGATGAGTTTTCAAGTGCACGGCGCATGGCCAGTAGACTGCGCATCTCTCCTGCCAGAGGTGAGCCTCCAATTGCCTCAACCAACTCATTCAAGTTTCATGTTTAAGTCTGCACAGCTGACATCATAGTGAGAGTTTTATGCATCTGGAGGTTTTCTTCGGTAAAACCATAGCCTCTTTTGGGATTTAAAAGTGGTGTTCTCCCTCCCTGCTTAGCATGAAAGAGGGATTGGTGAAGCTAAATAGGGATAGGTGCAGGAGGATAGAGTACATTACTATTCCATACTCTAATGATAGTCACAACATTACATATGGTTGGCTTGTCTCTTCTTCAGCTGATGTACCTACACAAAATGCAAAATCGTTGACACCCTTATTTGAGGTTGGGAGGCAGGGATGGCAAAACAGAGGTGAAAGATGGATCAGTGAAGCTAGATAGGGATAGTTGCAGGAAGATAGAGTGTATTACTATTCCATTCTCCAATGATAGTCAAACTAATAACCATGGTTGGCTGGTCTCTTTATTCCACTGATGTACCTACATAAAATGCAAAATCGTTGACACCCTTATTAGAGGTTTGGGGGTGGGGGACACTGGGAATAGAGGCGAAAGAGGGATTGGTGAAGCTAAATAGGGGTAGGTGCAGAGGGATAGAGTGCATTACTATTCCATACTCCAACAATAGTCAAAGTATTACATATGGTTGGCTGGTCTTTTATTCCACTGATGTACCTACATAAAATGCAAAATCGTTGACACCCTTATTAGAGCTAACTCTGTGGCCTTGCAAAACTATAAGGCAAAGTGCCTGTGTGTGTATGTACATTGTATGTAGTCATTATTCGATGTACTCTGCATACATGGACTATCATCGCTCTCTTGTCTTTTTTACCATCCCTAGGTTCGCCATTTTTTCACTATGTATTCAGTGACTGTTGTTTGTCTGAACCTGAGAAGTAGGCAACTATGCTGGGCATGCTCTATGCTCTTTTCTTCCCCCTGTATACCCTTGCAGTGGCCGCAGTGAGGGATCATGAGTTCAGCTCTTACATCAACCACTTCGTCAGCTATTCCGGATTCACTCCTCTGCACTATGCAGTCATTAGCGATGACATCGCCATAATTCGTCTCCTACTGAGCCACGGAGCTGACCCTACTGTGGAGGACAGGAGGGGGTTGACCCCTGTTGATTATTGCACTAATGAGGATGTTAGGATACTGCTTAAAGATCACGCAGCGCAAGTAAGTTCTCTCATATATTTTCCATTACCATTGTCAACACTCATACATTCACCAAGAACAACAGAAATGTTCTTACGCGGTCAATTGCGTAGAACCGTTAGTTTCAGAGTAAGTTCCGGGTTCCTTCATTAATTGGATATTTGGATAAAGAAACATAAACAGGCTTACCTAATGACCTTAAAGTCAACTCTATGTTTTACGTGTGTATTGCTGATAAAGTAGGAGTGGTGTTGATTACGTTGTAGGTGGAGTCTCGGAGGCTGGAGGCCCAGTTGGAGGAGAGAAAGAGGTTCCCTCTGGAGCAGAGACTAAGAGAGAGAATAGTTGGTCAGGATGGTGCCATCACTACCACTGCTGCTGGTATACATGTGTATAGTACTAGGAGAGTATATAATTATGAGTATATTACAGTGAAACCTTAAAAGAATCTTCCAAATAAGGGGTATTTCTTTATAAGGGACACTTGGTTCTGCCTCATATGTCATTAGTGTAGTATGCTACCTTCATACAGTATAGGACTCCTCTGAATAAGGTCACTTTCAATGTCCCCAAGGTGCCCCTTGCCTTGTTCAGGGTGTACTAAGAGAGGGAGAGGGGAGTATGTATTATAGGTTGTCTGTTATCTATAGCTATTAGAAGGCGAGAGTTGGGCTGGGCTGACGATGATCATCCACTGGTATTTCTCTTTCTTGGGTCCTCGGGAATTGGTGAGTCTGCAGAGAGGGGAGAGTGGGTGTGTAAGAAACTAGGAGAGTAAATTTTTCAATGCAGGTAAAACGGAATTGGCCAAGCAGATTGCTCACTACATGCACAAAGACAATTCAAAAGTAAGCTCTTCATTCACACATGTGCTTTAGCAGGTGCTCATGTCATTCATTAGGGATTCATCAGATTGGATATGTCAGAGTATCAAGAGAAACATGAAGTAGGTTGAACAAAGATCTTGACCATAAACAAATATTGGCGGCCATTATCAATAGTTCGTGGCAAACTTTGTAGTCGGTGGTGATTGTGCATAGGATAAACTTTAGTGCATGTGCATTTACAATTGTAACCTCAACAACTGCCAATTTTATGAAGAATATGAGAGGCTATGTTGTGTAAAATTAGGTTGCGAAGTTGATAGGGTCTCCTCCAGGCTACGTGGGTCACGACCAGGGAGGTCAGCTGACCGAGAGACTCAGAGAGTGTCCTGCTGCTGTGGTCTTGTTTGACGAAGTGGACAAGGCCCATCCAGACGTCCTCACCACCCTCCTACAGCTCTTTGATGAGGTCAGGGTAAACTCTTACACTATCCTTGAGTTAGACGTTCTGTATACACATGTATATAGCTTTAGCATTGGCCTAACCCATTGGTTTTTGGGTGTATCATGTGTTCTCACAACAAAAACGTGGTTACTCACGTCTGTTGGCTACATAGCCTTAAATTGAACCTGCATTTGTTAGCATCTAAAACATACAAGCCCGCCTACTCTTGAACATGTGCATTACTGATGAGTTCCGGTAAATGAAAATCCTCTGTGTCAATTGCTGCTGATTGCAGGGACGTCTCACTGACGGTCAGGGTAAGACCGTACACTGCAAACAGGCCATATTCGTGATGACCTCCAACCTGGCGAGTGATGAGATTGCCAGCCACGCACTACAACTGAGACGAGAGGCAGCTCAGGCAGCTCAGGACTATCACCACAGCCAGACTGGTGAGAGAGAACCTGTTGTGGATAATTGTCTGACACTGGTGGCTGCAAGCATGCTAGGTTCTTACTTTATTCAGCATATGAACCCAGTGAAGGCAGACTTGCAAGTTATGTTTTGTAGCTTACTAATAGCTTGTGTAGGTTTTGGCAATCCTTCATCTCATGTATTGGTGCAGTGGAGTGAGGGGTGAAAATACACTGATCCTTGTCCCCCAACAGAGCCGGAAGAACACATTGAGATATCCAGAGATTTCAAGGAACGAGTAGTGGAGCCCATTCTAAAGGTGTGTAACCTGTAGCTTTGTGAATATATGTGTGAATTATGAAGCAAAAATATAGCCTTCACAACTTTTTTTTTGCCATATTTACTACAAAATTCTACTTGACTCTGGTTATGTGTTCGCAAAAACAAGCTCATGATAGAATGTATGTGGAGCTCATAGTTGGCTGTTTTTCTCCACGTATGTAGAGTCACTTCAAAAGAGATGAGTTTCTCGGCCGTATCAATGAGATGGTCTACTTTCTGCCGTTCTCTCGGTCAGAGCTGAACCAACTGGTGGAAAAGGAGCTCAGGACATGGCAGACCAGGGTAGGCAGACTGGGGGCACAGCTGGAGGGGGGGATGTTTATGATGCGTGTATATAGTGTGGCCTTTATGGGATCTGGTGTGTGCTATGTACATCAACACTAATGAACTTATACATACCTGTGCAGAAACATACATCCAAGTATCAATAGGAAAAATATCGTGGTTATCCAAACCCAGTTTCTTTTTCTAGAGAATGCAGATTTACCGGTAGATGCGCCCAAACACCTTTGAAAATTCGGCTCTAAGTGGTGTGTAGGAAATTACCTATCGCTGTGTTAACTGTACCGTCACTCTGTCTGTCTGTTGGCATCAGGCCGAGAAGAGGCATTCAATCCAGCTCTCCTGGGACAGAGAAGTTCTGGATATACTAGCCGATGGATACAACGTCAAGTATGGGGCTAGATCCATTCAACACGAGGTGTGTATGGTTTGCTAAAACAAGTAAAGATAAGAAAGATACTAATATTTTTTGGCAATAAGTATGTTTCAGTAGCACTATTTTAAAAGCCTCACCACAAGAAAATGTAATATGTCGTCATTCTTTTAGCCTCAAAACCAACTGTGTGTTACATGTGAGGGTGTTCATTGTTGCAGGTGGAGAGACGTGTGGTGAATCAACTTGCTTCGGCGTTTGAGCAGGGTATGATCACTAGAGGCAGTTGCGTGAGGTTGGCAGCAGGAGGAGGGGAGGGGGACGGAGTCAGTGTCAAGCTGGTGGTGACGGAGAAAGACTCAACTACAGGGAGAAAAGTTGATGTGGGACCAGTCCTCTTCCCACTGAGTACTCTATATATAGTGTAGTGAAAAACTTAGGACAAGCGGGTTGGGTTCAAAATAATTGACACAAGTATGTATTATGTATGGCCTGCGCGGACTATGCCTTTCATCATCTCTTTCTCAACTGTGACTGAGTCTGACTTCCAACTAATCTCAATAATGCGTATATGAACGAAGTAGTTACTTCAGGGCTACGTCATTGGGTACTACACATGGGTAATTTCTGCTCCAGGGTAGAATGCACTCGAAGCATGCAAGAGTCTGTGTTACTGTGAACCTGCCCTTAATAGTTCAAATGTTCAGTAGATTCAAATATTGTTTGATGAATAAAATCACAAAATCCATTGCGAGGGTTCTATAACAATGATGCATATTGAGATACCCATAATTGCAATTAGTTAGTACAAAAAAGAAGTGGGTTAATTGGTTGGCAACGTTCTGCCTCAGTGTGTGTTGGGAGGTTGTGCTGTCTGTGGAGTCTGCTGAGAAGATGGCGGAGATGAGTCATGTGTCGTGGCAGACCCACTTGTTGATGGAGGCTGCTGCATTGGACCAGATCTTGCACCTGGTGGCAGAAACGAAGGGGCAGTAGCCCCCGGCCAATACGATGGGTATTGCATTGTGTTTAGTCTGGGAAGAGAGGGGTTAGGATTGGCACCAGTTGTACCGTACGTTCTCAAGTGGTAGAGATATGGGAGGACGAGAGGGTTGATTCCGCCGTAGTGTGAGGATGGCGACTGCTGGAGCAGGGACATGTACTGGAGCATGGCTGCCTGTGGCTGGGCAAAGTTGGGGAGTGTTGCCATCTGCGAGAGTGGGGGGAGGGGTACGCTCGACCCACCTGCTACTGTGGCTGCTAAGGTGGAGGAGGGGGTGAGGGAAAAGGTGGAAGCAGGCTGGGGTGGGGGAACGGGGGTTGCAGAGAGAGCGGTGGAGATGGGCTGAGTCTGGGGAAGAGAGGGGGCTGTAGACAATGGTGGAGGTAGCTGGCTGTGTGAGGTAGGTGGGAGAGGTTCTACAGAGGAAGTGGAGGTGGAGAAAGGGAAGCGCGCCAACTGCGCAGATAGTGGAGCGAGACTAGCAGAGGTGTGTGGAGCAAGGTAGGCAAGGTGCGGCGGAAGAGGCTGCAGTGTACTGTAGGGTGCAGTAACAGGAGGAACCAGTGAGGGGGTGGGCTTCAATTGGGAAGGTAACTGAGGTGGCAGGGAAGGTAACTGAGGTGGCTGGGAAGGTAACTGAGGTGGCAGGGAAGGCATGAATTCTGGGAGGACAGGATTAGACGTGGCGGGGTTTATCTGGTGACTGGGTTGGATTGGGGGAAATCCTGGTGTTGCAGTCACGTCAATGGGTAGATCCTCTGTCTCTCCCACTGAAACAACAGGAGGAGGACTAAGTTTGGGCTGGTGGACAGCAGCTTCTGGTGCTGTTTGTAGTGGCGTAGCAACTGCAGTTTGTCTGGTAGGCTCAGGGGAAGGAGTAAGGATGTCCTGGTGCAGCTTGGATCGCGTGAGTTGCGCAATAGGGAGCGAGACAATGAGAGGACTGGCTCGAAATTGCCTTGGTGACAGCTCATCGGTCACATTGATCTCAGGTGAAGTCTGCTCATCTCTGAGACGTGGCGAGGAACCTGGCGTGTGTTCTTTCGACGATCCCTTGGCCTTAGAGCTGTTTCTGGTGACCGGTCCCCTCTCTGGTTCTTCCTCACTCGATTCGCTCTCGTCAAACTCCTCTACGTCTGAAGCCTCGTGTAGCAGTCCCAGCGGAGCCTTCTCTGCCTCAGACTGGATGCACGCCTGTGCACCACGCGTGTTGTACCTCTCTCTTCCTTGTGGTTCCTTCGCAATCTTCTCCTCAGTAGGGGCGTCGGTGGACAAGGCAGGTTTTGTGGGGGTTTCGGCGGAAGAGGATTCTGAACTGCTGTCAGAGTTTTCCGAGTCGCTCCCGGAGCTTTCGGAGTCAGATTCGGAGTACTCCAATCTCGCTGGAGGCCGGAGTCTCTCGGGGGAGACTAGTACATTATCGGATTCCTCCGACGAATGACCCTCCTCACCTGTACCCCTCTTCTTCTTGGGGGAAGCGGCACGTCGCCTGCTACTGCTGCGAGTCAAAGGAACAGAGTCTTTGCTGGTCGGAACCACTGAATCCTCTCCGCCATTGGCAGTCTCCGATTTTTGTCTGCCAGCTGGGACGAGGGCTTCATCCCCACTGGAACTAGTGGTTTGCCGGCGTAGGGGCTCAAAGTTGCTCAGTCCCAGGTGAAACAGCTTGCCTCGCTCTATCTTGATGACGTTCTGAGACCGAGTGCGTGCAGAGACCGGGTCGGAGAAGTTGAACGGAGTGGCGACTGCACGCAAGTAGGCTTCCGCATGTCGAGAAAACATCGGGGCCCCTTTTCTCGGGACCCATGTCGGTCGCCCCTTTCTCTGGCGCGTGCTGCGTCTGATGGCTGTTTCAATCACAGCCGGTCGCTCCCGTTCTCTCCTCTGTACCGGTCTGTTGGTGGGAGTGGCATTAGCTCTGTGTGTCGACCGTCGCTGCGGGCCCATTGGGTAGTCTCTTCTTCGTCTCCTTGTTCGCTTCCTCTTCGGTTCAGTCTCCCCTTCCTCTTTCCTTTCTTCGACTCCACTCTCCTTCTCCTTTTTCCCCTCCTCCTCCTCCTCTTCCTCTTCCTCATCTTCACCGTCAGCTTCCCTACCTTCCTCCACTGGTTTCGAATCATCTTTCACCTCAGGGTTGCCTTCCACTTCTTCTTCCTCTGTGTCCTCCGTGGCAGTGGTGGTATCGCCGCCCGACTGGACAAGTGGAGACCAGTGGAGAGCCTCGGAGTCCAACTCGATCCGTATGCTGTTCCGCACCTTTTCCATGTGCGCCTCAAGCACCGTCATGTCTTTGACGATGGCTACTCCCCCGTCTTCTTTCAACCGAATCATGTTCACCATCTGGAGAGTGGCCGCCACGTCGTGCGGATCCATGCCCAGATCTTGGCTGATGGTGCGGATGCTGATCCGAGGCAAACTTGTGTTGTAGAGGTATTCCATGATCACGCTCTTCCAGTAGCTGTGGTAGCTGATGCGACCGAGATCGGAGAGTGGCTTCTCGGGCGATCCAGGCTGGTTCTCCACACGGGAGAGGAGGTAACTGAAGTCAATAAGAAACCTACCAAAGCCCTGCCGCTGGTACTGTGGCATGGTCATGATGCACGAAACGTTGTACTTCTGCTGGCACGACTTCTCCTTTGAGAAGTAACCCACCAAGTGGCAGCCTTTTCGGTCGTTTTTCGTGAGCACGTAGAAGAGAAACGGTTCCACGTCGTAGTAAAGCGTCTTATGATCGAGGAAAAGCTTGGCCAAGAGGCAGAGGTTCTGGCAATAGATCTTGCTTGCCATTCCGTCTACCTCAAAGACGGAGAGCTCACACTTGCGATAAATCTCGTTCCCCGGTGGGTGGAACCACTGACACTTGGCTCTGTGGGTCTTGAGGATTGTCCGACTCTTCATGTACTTGAGGCAAAACTCACAGAGTACCAGTTTCGGTAGGATAGCGTACTCTTGCGGGTAAGGGGAAGAGTACCAGGTCTTCATTTCGTACTTGCCAAACTCGATCATTGGCGGGGAGCGTGCGGTGGGGTCTAGCGTCTTGCCGTTGATGGAGGTGGCCATGGAAGCCATGGCTCTCTCCTGAGCCTTCTTGAAGAGCTCCAGATCACTCTCTGTTACTCCAGGAGGGAGCTGCGGCTGAATCATGGGCTCCAACAGCTCGTCGAAATCCACACCGTCCATACCGCTCTTTTTTCTCTTCTTTGGCAGTGGAGTGTATCCATCGTAGTCGCTGTAGTAACCAGCCGTCTTGCGGGGTCGTTTCGGAGTGAGGAAGTGCGACCCGCCGGACTTGTTCATTCCTCGTCGTCGATTGGGAGGGGGGACACAGATGGGACATATCCAACGCCCCTCAGGGAGCCCACTCACCGGTGGGTCCAGGCAATCCATGTGGAATCCCTTGTCACAGCTGTCACAGATTAGCAAGTCGTCCGCATTAGCCGCCTGGTCGCACTGCACGCACCTCTTGCACTCCAGACAGAGCCAGGGCTCGGCACGGATCCGCGTCACGAGTGCCGGCGTGTACTGCAGACACGTGGGATGCCCGCTGTTCCCGCACTCGTGGCACGACAAGAGGTCCTCCTGCTTACCCTGTCGGTTCCTCTCCGCAGTCCCGAGACAGAAACTACAGATGGCACTCGGTTTCACTTTCGGTTCGGGGAAAACTTCCAAGGGGAAGACGGGGACTCGAAGGAGGCGCCCATGCTTCTCAAGTGCACCCTGTTCCAGCTGCTTGGTCACTGAGGCCTTCAACTGGTCCATGACCTCTGTACCCTGAACAAGACCGTACTCGGAACAGATCTGGGCCTCTATTTCGCGCAGCGTCGCTCCCTCTAAGTTGATTTTGAGGATGCTCTTTCTGATCATGCGGACCAGATCGGCCGAGTTGAGGACACTACGGGAGACAGAGAGGGTGTCTGGGTCTCGGTAGGAGGGCAGCCCCTTGTTGATTAGCTTTATGATACGGTTGCTCTGAACTGCCTTCTCCAGCATCATTAGAGAAACTTCTGGTGACACACCGTACCTGAAGTGGTGCCAACAGCATTGACTATATAATTATAACAACTGCACAAACATGTAGATAAACATTTTACGGTGCTGTACACACATGACAGACATAATGTATATATAGCTCATGTAAGACACATACAAACAGTACGTCGAAGAAGCAACAGACCTTATGTTCATGGTAGAGCATATCCTCTCTTCACCAGGTCTCTGCTTCTGGCCTTTGATCCTCCGGATGGATGACAGGAGTTGCTCCACTATATCCTCATCCAAGTCTCCATCACTCCCTCCTGCCGTCGGACTCTCGCTCCTCACCGGAGTACGGGTCTTTCTACCTCGAGGCATCGCCTATCCACAGCTTCTCGACGGAGCGATCTCCTAGCAAGGCGAAATGACGTGACGGTATACAGTAAGAATCATCTGCATGATCCGCTTACACATAGATAAACAGTCAGTACAGTCCTCTAGGACACCAAAATACTCTTCCAACAACGTATTCTCCAGGGTGGGAGGCGCTGGCCTTCTTGTCTCTCAGTCTTTCCCCGCCAAGAATTCTATTAGACGCGCACCATAGGTACCCCCACTTACACGCATGCGCGTATAAATCCTCCAACCACACGTGGGCTCTACCAAGATGGCTACTCAAACGAGTAAGAAGAGGAAGGTGAGTGTATCCTGTCGCATCTTTGTCATGAGTACAGCATATCCCTTTAACTTCAGTCAAACTGTTGTTGTAGTTGTGTGGTGTGTAATGTGGTTCGAATCTCCGGTCTCCATACTTATGTAAGCCACCTAGATGGCTAGCTGGTACGACTATGTACTCGGAGAATACGTAGCTGTGGGGAAAGGTAATTAAATTGAAGCTTCTGTTGTCTGACTCACAGTTTGTGAGTGATGGACTGTTTCGATCGGAGCTCAACAGCTTCCTGAAGCAGGAGTTGGCCGAAGATGGTACAGTGGAGTCGAGGTCCGAGTGACTCCCACCAGAACTGAGATCATCATTCTGGCCACTCGCACACAAAACGTCCTCGGCGAGAAGGGCCGGAGGATTAGGGAACTTACTGCCGTCGTTCAGAAACGCTTCAACTTTCCTGAAGGCACAGTTGAGGTACAGTAATTGAGACTTTACACGCTTTGAGACTTTATAGAGATTGCTCTGGTACAGTTGTATGCAGAGAAGGTTGCAGCTCGTGGTTTGTGTGCCATTGCTCAGTGCGAGTCACTTCGATACAAGCTCATTGGTGGACTAGCAGTGAGAAGGTAGGTAGGACTCATTTACAACTCTCGGGTACATCGCACGTATGGACAGTTGCCACTACAATTGTATCACATCCACTACCTTTGGGGAGAAAAATGTTGTGCCCATCATGGCCATTCACTAGAAAAATTTTCTTGGGCAGGCAAAACTTTTCCCACAAACTTTTCTCCCTTGTAAGTTTTCAGAGTTCAGTGTGCCAATATACATACCCATGTTTCACTCTTGTGTCTGTGTGTGCAGAGCCTGTTATGGAGTACTGCGATTCATCATGGAGAGTGGTGCGAAGGGATGCGAGGTGGTCGTGTCGGGCAAGCTGAGGGGTCAGAGGGCAAAGTCCATGAAGTTTGTGGACGGACTGATGATACATGCTGGCAACCCTACCAGAGACTACATTGATAGTGCCATCACCCCACGTACACTTGAGACAAGGTATGGAAAACCGGAGGCTGAAATTTTCCGTGTTTTGGTAGCAAATAGGCACTGTACAGCAGTCCGCACTCACGTAATTTGCCAGGGGAAAAACTTGAGTTTCTCTCAAGGGGGCCTGGCTATTGTAGTATTAGGGGAAAACCTCATCATTAGCAGCCGATTCGTATTTCTCAATGTTTAGTATGAGGACTGTTGGTCATGTTTTTCCTTTATCAGATTTCTAAACTGTGTTGTGGTGTGTGCGGAAGGGTTAGTTTCTCCTCCATTTACTTTGTTTACTCCTATGCAGGTGTTCTAGGTATCAAGGTGAAGATCATGCTGCCTCATGATCCCACGGGGAAGAGTGGTCCTAAGAAACCGCTCCCAGACAACGTGAGTACTGCAACTCCCCACACAGAGTCACACAGTCCAGATACACATGTGGCCACACACACTACTGTCTGTCTGCCACATAACACACTCAGCATGTTTATGGCAAGTAGATACCTTGCAAATATGGTAGCAAATTACTCATGTATTACTGTATGATGGTCTCTGGCCTATATATATGTAAGAAATAACCGAAATTCACTCTCCTTCAAGTTAACTATGGTATAATTATAGTTAGTGTTGTTATTTGTAAGCTGTGCACGCTGTGCTACAGGTGAGTGTGGTAGAGCCCAAGGATGAGACACCAATCATGGAGCCATACTCCGAGCAGAAAGGAGCCGCCAAGCCTTTTGAGCAGCAGCAACAGCAGCAGATGATGTGAAGGACGAGGGGGAGGGGCATAGCTGACATTGTTTGCATTGTGATTGTATGAAGAATTTGCTGTGTCGTATATTTGTCGTCATTTCCTGTGATGGTGAGTATTGATTGGAAGTTGCGGTCTGCCCTGCTCTGGTATAACGTGGAGTAAGACCTGACTATACACATATACCAGTTGAACCTCAATCATCTGGACATTTTTAGACTAAGAGAATGGCTACTGATATGTACTCTGGGCCCTGGCTAACAATAGTTATGTAGAGATGGGGTGAAAGCAGGTAAGTGAAAAGGCCAATTTGCATAATTACAACAATAGTGCCTGGGGTGCTGATATATTATATTGGGGTCTAGTGCATGAGTAGTGGCTCCCTTAGTGACTTTCCATTCATGCAGTTTTTGGAGTGCAAATTGCCCTCATAGAAGCTGCCCAGTTTCCCAAATTCACCACAGCATCTGAGTTGAGTTTCTACGGCATGGTGTGCAATTATACACGTGCCAAATAAAATTTCACATCTGACAGAATCATATTGAGCTAATACCCGCAGCTGTTCTACTTACACTCTTATTGGTGCTACTTTCCACCGGTTGTGGAAAAGGACTCCAAACTTTTAGGATGCAGACTTTGACAAGGACGCACAGCAGAATCCCGCCCAGGGCATCTACGAGGTAGTGGTGAGTGGAGTAGTTGGCTGCTAGTGTGATCCAGACCACATGGAGAGCGGCAAATTTCTTCCCAAACCAAGGATTGTTTAGGAATACTATTGTTGGCCAGGCCACGTGGAGCGAAGGGAAGGCGCCAAACTTGAGCGGCGACTGTGAGTAAATCCCGTGGAATATCGCAAATCCGAGAATTCTGTCGACTCGCTTGAAACCGGCCTCGTTTGAGTACTCATAGATCACCTTTCCGTGCTCGTCAAAGATAGCGCTGTCCACAAACCACGGGGACGCTGTAGGAAACGTGAGCTGAAACAACACGGCCAGAAAGTTGATCCACCCAGCACACCACATGTAGGAGAATAACCCTCCTCGTTTACCGGGGTGGAGTGCCAGGTATGCTCCAAATACGAATGGGAGAGGGAAGTGAACGAGATAGGGTATCGCGGCGAGGACGTCGAAAATGGGGTTAGCGAGCTGCGAGAGTATTTTGTGGGGCTGACAGAAAAATACATGCTCTTCGATGCTAGGTAGCACGGTGAAAGTTGGCGGAGAGACAGTGTCTAGGTGCGTGATTTGACGAAGGGAGATGTAGAATTTGAAGATGAGAAGATACAAGAGGTAGGGGAGAGCGGCAAAGAGGAAAGCACCGATGTGGCGTAGTCGGATCTGCTTCAGTGCCAGTCTGTTGAATCTGGCGAGTTCTCGAAGGTTAGACAGAGTTAGGTTAGTGAGCTGAGGCTGCCGCAGCTTGGACATGACCATCATCTGCAAAAAAGAGAGAGGAAACGATCTGAAGTTACATCAACAGTATCTACCTAGGTATTGGATGCGTTGTGAACGCCAAAAATACGTGTGGCTACTGTACGTGTGTGTGTGAAAGCTTATACCTTTCGAGCCTCCCAGTAGAAACCAAGGTTCCGGTATAAAACATCCAAAACCGGATTCCCGGACTCCTAACAAAGAGTATAACGTCACATAATCGGCATTGCACAGTAAAAGCAATTTCCTGACTAGTGAAAGGGCACATGACCCACATTATCTTGTGAACCCTACTACGCCACCTACCTTCTTCTGACCACTCTTGTATTCCTGGTCGAATTTCATCAAGTCAGACGGTATCGATACGTTACTGAAGGCCGCCAGACCTCAGCGGTTATTCTTAACACAACCACACCCTCCCGCATCCCGCGCGCGCCCCACCCAGCTAAGATTTGCGCATGCGCAGTACGCAAATGAATCTTGACACAAGACACAAAAATAGTTATACTTATACAAAACTTACAAAAAAGGAGTAATTTTTCACACACACTTGGTGCACGGCCTGCATAATATTGTGCATATATACACGGTACATATTGATGAGGTTGAGTCATTGTCAGTGTTCAAAGTTTGGTCAGTCAAACTAGTACATCGTGGCCGCCGTCATGGCTCGGAATAGGACTGCCCTGAGAGGAGCCTGACATGGACAGACTGGTGAGACTTGTGGTTTTCTTCATTGCCTGCATCAGTGTGGGGTCAGTTAACTCAATGCTGTATCGTAGTGCGAGCAAATGTTTGGAGTCCAGAGAGAAAACTATCATACAGTATACATGAAGATCAACTACAAAGCTACACATTCAAAATACTGATGATAACTGACTTACATCAGGGTGCTTTTCTTTCGGAGACGAAATGGCACTTGTCGAGACGACAGAGAAACGACTAAGGGTTCTGTGAAGTGTCCCCTCTCCCTCCTCCTCCTCCTCGTCCCCATGACGATGTCTGGAGCTCCTTCCAGATGAATGCGACGACTTCTCTCTCTCGCTTTTTGAAGTCTTCCCACCACTGTCCGACTTTTCCCTCTTTGTCCTGAAGCTGAATCGCAGCCCCTTCAAAATCGACTTGTCCTTGTCTTTACCTTTCTCCTCCTCCTTTTCTTTTCCCTTTTCCTTCTCTCTCTCTTTGGACGACAGACGCTTCGAGCCACCATCCTCCTTGCGATGGTCGCTTGATGAGGACTTAGAACTCGAGCCGTGTTTTCTACTGGAGGAAGATGAGGTCTCCTTTGACCTGCCGTGTCGGTCTGAGCTGCTGCTGTGGTGCCTTGAGGAATGCCTGCCTCGGTCCCTCTCTCTTTCCCTTTCCCTATCCCTTTCCCTGTCTCTGTCGTGATGTCTTGAGGAGCGGTGGGTGTCGCTCCGCTCCGCCGAGTGACTGTGATGCCTTTGTTCTTTCTCCCTCTCCTTCTCATCCCTGTCCCTCTTTCGCTCCCTCTCCCTCTCTCTTCCACTTTCCCTCCCTCGCTCCTCTCTCCCCCTCGAAGAATGTGTCTTCTCGCTACTGCTTCGACTCTTCCTCTCCTCTCTCCTTCCTTCCTCCACCTTCTCCTCCTCTTGTCTCAGTCGCAGAGGTTTACGAAATTCAACCGCAGGAGATCCAACACCCTCACCTATGCTCTGGTGAAGGTACCTGACGGGTGTCACATCGTATATCCGTTCGTTTGCAGGCGGGAGAGTGTCATAGATCTCTTCCTGGTCGGCAGGTGTTGGTTCTGCATCTACGTCTTCTTCTCCTTGGGATGTTGACTGTTGTTTGGTGGTAGGGAGTGGGTCATTAATGGGAGGGTGCGAAGATGCTCGTGTGCGAGGGTGGAGAGGTAGTCGTGGAGTGAGGGTGTGAATTGCAGGCTTTGGTGGCATTGGTTCTATCCGTGTGGCAGAAACATTCCTCTGTGGGGTTAAAATCATACAGGATGCCAAACTAAAGAGAATGAAAGTATAACAAGTTTTTGCCCTTTCAAATTATCATCAGATGCACAGACCTAACAAAGACTGAAAGGTCAACACTCTATGTAGAGTTTTTACAATGTCCTAAGCACACTCTAGCACTGTACATAGGTAAACATACAACATGTGTATACACAGTTTGAGTTTTCCTACTTCAATTTGTACATGTGCACATCAGAAGCACCGTAATCTTTCACTTTCCGCCAAAATAAACACACACACACAGACACGTATCCTCAGCACACAACACCAGGGTTTTGGTAATAATTGAAAAGGGCCAAACATTTTCTCCAAATGGACTGTTTAGCATACACTCCATGGTAAAGAAGGGGGAAGCCACCACGCACCCTAGCTACAGTAACAAGCAGTATTTTCAGGGTTTAGTTGAAGCAAAGAAGCTACTTTGCTTGCTTCAACTGAACCCTGAAAAGGCTTCTTTGCAACCCTGAAAATACTGTGCGATACTGTACATGTACCTACCATCTCCAGCCAGGGAGGAATACTGCTGGGGATCATGAGAGGCTTTTCTCTGGGCGAAGAGCTGAGAGGACCTCCGAACCTCCGCTGGGAGTCACACGAACGAGACCGCGGTCTGGACCCTCTCTCCTCCAGCAGTGGGGCTCCGGGGCTCGAACTGGTCGACGTTACCACCCTTCGAGAGGAAGAGGAGAAGGGGGTAGAGGGTGGGTGGGCATTATCTGGAGTTGTCCCCTCTGCAGACAGAGGACCAGCTGGGGGGTCGGGGTTCGGGATTGAGTTCGTTGAGTCCTCCAGAGCCGACTCTGGGGAGAGATCTCTGGCGGTAAGTCGTTGGGAGCCGGGAGAAAGGAGACTCATCTGGTCCGACAGAGATGGCGGTCGCCTCCTCTCCAGAAAGTCACCCTCGCTCTGGTCATCTTCTCCATCGCTCCCACTCTCTCCCTCCTCCTTCTCTTCCCCCTCTTCTTCCTCTTTCTTCTCCACTCCTCTCTCCTTCTTCTCCAGCAGTGTGCTGAGAGTGTCCACCGACTGCTGAAGCTGTTTTTCGAGTAGCTCCATTTCTGGATCCACTGCCATCATCTCTCCAGCCGTACTGCCACCACTTTCACTCTGAAACACAAGTTGAAACCACAACTTTTACATCATTGCAACAACCTTTTTACATACAGCTAATACCCAAGTACAAACATATTTATTTGATGGGCAGTGGTGTACTAAGTGCTGCTTTAAGTGCACGTGCAACTTATTGCCTATATAGGGCTAAAGTGTATAAATGAGTTTGAGACCATTTTCTCTAAAACTATGCACTGACGACCTCCAGCTAGTAGATAAATACAGAACTACAGTATGCATTATATATGTACACTTGTGAGGTGTGGGCCGTGTGTGCAAGATCTGCACACGCACAATAGGGTCATGGGACACCGCTACACATTGTGGGCTATGAATACGTACACCTCAAGAGCAGGTATCGAGAGGAACCTATAGATCAGTCAGCACACTACTATGGGTGTGTACCGCAAGCCTACAAATTGCCGGATGGTGGTACGTACAACCAAATGCTGACAGCAAACAGCCTCGTGTACCTTTGAAAGTACAGTATCGTAATTGCATTCCACAGACACAAAGCCAACAATAAACATTGTTTACACAGCAGCCGAATGGTTGTGTCTGGTCTACTCTTTGCCAGTGGGTCATGTGAGCATACAACACATGCCAGTAGTGACTATATATATAGGTACTAGTGAGCTGGCCCCTTTCCCAGACATTAGTACATACGCTTGTATATAGTAGCTGGTAATTGTCACACTTTTTCCTACATCATATTTCCCCTTAGTATACATTCATTTTCCTCATTTCTAAAACATGTATTTACCGTTTTCAGGCCTCACATACACATCGCATTTCCCTTACAGTTTGTGGTTTTCATGTCTCTCGCATACATAGTACAAGTCCAGTTTCCCCCCACACACACAAACAGTGGTATACACATACACTGTGTGTACCTGAGTGCCGGTATGTCTGCTGGGAGGTCTTCTGCGTGCAGAGCTCCTAGCCACGGCCAACTGCTGCCGATCGTGGCCTTCCTTTAGACCAAGCGACGGCGCCGTTTTGGGAATGGCAGCAAAGTCAGCACCCTCCTCTCCTCTATCCTTTCCACTCTCTCCTTCTTCCTCTCCATCTCCCCCTTCCTCTCCTCCCTTATTATTATTATCCTCCTCTCTTTCACCTGCCTCGACTTCCTTTCCCTTCTTTCCCTCCTCTCCCTTTGATGCCTCGGTGCAGCTAATCTCGACACACTTCCCTCTCTTCCACACCACAGTATTAGGAGTCGGTGGGGCACTAGAAGGAAACGGCGACGGGCTACCAGACTGATTTGCCTCCGACATCTGCGCCGCCTTCTGCTCTATATACTCCACTTCCCTGGCGTCGGCCTGCAGTCCACTGGTCTCAGAGTCCAGCTGCAACAGAGCTCGGTTGAGGTCACTCTCCAGTTCATCAGCTGAGGTGGGGTTCGATGGAGTCAGGGCGTACTCCGGGCTCTCGTGTACCGGAGACAGGACACCGGTATAGCTGCAGAGTCGATCGGAGCCCAACCGTGGTCTCTCATCCGGGACCGGCTCGCCGGGAGTACCAGTCTCTCCAACTTCGACTGTAGCTTTTGCCGTTTTTGGAGGGCGTCGCAATCTGGCACTGTCTTGGTGACTCTTTGACCGAACTCTCTTCGGAGCTCTAATTCTCTCTCCCCTCTCCTCCTCCTCCTCCTCCTCCTCTTCTTCTCGGAGCCTGAGAGATCTTCAGGAGGGCTGTGGTACTCTGAAGTGTGCGGCTCTTCTTCCTCCTCGTCGGAGAAGCCGTCTTCGCCGTCACGCAGGCGTCGTCGTCTGACTCTGTGTCGCTATAGTTTTGGGGCGGGCTTGGTCTATAAGAGGTGTGTTTGGAGCGGGGCGACTTTGAGGAGCGGTGGCCGCGCTGGCGAATGTGAGAATGACGAGAAGAGTCCTAAAATCCAAACGAGATATTATCTACATCACAAGTGGTTACCCACACCAACTTTTTCAAGGCATCCATATAATTGTCACCCAAATATTTCGAGGCTTTGAAAATCTGAATTTCTATGCTGAAGGTTTACACATGAGATACATACTTGTAAACCAGGAAAAGGTTGCACCTCAGAAATGTTTTTGCTCCACATTGTACTACAGTATGCAGCTCGATCATAAATATTTCAAGTTGACATGTCACTTGAAACTACTGCCAAAATAGAATACCCACAAACTAGGTGAAAATGAAAGAGGGCAAATACATAGTATATACCACCGCTTTCATTCCACACTTAGCTGTCGGCAACAACAGGTAGTGGTTGAGAGATAGGGAAGTACGGGTTTCCTACCTCAATGGAGGGCACAAAACACTGCATTAGCCTCATTCAAGTGAATGGTCTAATAATAGTGGGAAGCTAGGAGCAGACACAAAGGAACTGAGAGGTTTCCTACAGGCATGTGGTGTACACATGTTCGTTGGAATGTCAAACACACACACACAAGCAATACTATAGGTACAACACACGAGCCATCAGCAGCAACAACAAAGTGGCTTACTTTTCCTCGTTTGGTTTTCTTGTGGCTGCTGTTTATGTCAAAGGAGACGGCCTCCAGCTCTGAGATTAGTTCCTGGAGTCTGCCCCTGTCATAGTGGTACCTAATGGATACCAGAGGGAGGGTGAGAGTACCACCCATTCATACGAAAAGCCACATTCATTTCTCATAGAGGCTGAGGTCACCTTTATGCAAGGTTAACCACACAGTGTATACCAGGTCACCTTTATGCAAGGTTAAATACCAGGTCACCTTTATGCAAGGTTAAATACCAGGTCACCTTTATGCAAGGTTAAATACCAGGTCACCTTTATGCAAGGTTAACCCCACAGTGTATGTATACCAGGTCACCTTTATGTCCAAAGGTTTTTTCCCCACAGATGTATACCAGGTCACCATTTATGCAAGGTTAAATTGACCAGTCACCTTTATGCAAGGGATTAACCCACAGTGTATCTACCAGGTCACCCTTATGCAGGTAACCCCACAGTTACTACCAGGTCACCTGTATGCAACGGTTAACCACAGTGTAACCAGGTCACTTTTATGCAAGTTAACCCCACAGCTGTCTGATACCAGGCGCACCTTTGATGCCACACAGGTCCGTTACATTGCCACAGATATCAAGGTGTGGGCACATGACCATGTACATACTGATACATACATACTGTAGCACACTTAAATATCTGTCGTCTGTAGGGATGCTACCATGTTGTACATTAGCACATCACTTACACTGATACTAATTCTCTGGCCTTTCTTTTGCGAGCTTCTTCATCCTGCATGTAGCCACAAAATGGTAATAAATTCCATGCATAACCACTGTGCAAAGCTGATAATTTTCTAGCTTTGAAGGGCAAAACCAGTGTCACGCTCTGGTTGGCACAACCAAATGTCACGCTAGAATACAGAGTCAAAGGTCAGTTTCTAATGGGAGCCCACCTGGTCCCTGGTGTCTCCTGGAGTGTTGGAGAGAGACATCAGTTCCAGAATGAGACGCAGCGAGTTCTCATCTTGTATCACTGGATACGACTGGCCACTGCATGGGGGGTTCATGGTACATAACCCCATACACACACACATACACATGTACATTGAGCATGGATGCAAACCCTACCCCTGACTACTACATGACAGACATTTGGGTTAAAACAGTATAGCCCCACTCATGTGAAAAATTATGCACACTTCATGATGTGTAATCTACATAAAGAAGCACCCATTAGAAATAGATCCTCCACAGATGGCTGGACAGAATGACTCGTCTCCTCTACACATTATACTTATGTAGCACTACTCACAGGCAAATCCCTTATTTATGGATCGTGTTTTACTGTATGTATCTAAGCTAATGGTTCCTCCATAAACATACACCCATCAATGGCTTACAAATCTCACACTGCAGCATGCCTAACATGCTGTGTGTCATGTGACCCATACACACATGTGGCATACACACACACACACAAACAGTAGGATGTATAACGAGTGGTACACAATAGAAGAAACATTGCATCATTGTTCATTAGTCTCGAATGCCAGACTGAGACTAAAGGTGACACTAACATTCATAGTCCAGCTGTGCAACATGTCACATTGCAGAATAAACAATCAAAAATTCTGCTCCCCCCACACATCCACATTCCCAACTTGTGTGTACATGTGTACTGCATGTGTACTGCATGTGTGTGTACACCTTTCACATGATACTCATGTGAAAAATGTCCAGTGTGTGGTGCCATAGTGTAGGACCCAACAAGATCATTAGTGTCCACATTACATGAGTAAGAACAGGGAACTTGCAATGTACTGTAGCTCCATTCAGCACTACTCTGCACTGTTCTTATTCACAATGGATGTGCTCTCTCTCGGCCACTCTGCCCAGTGCACAGTGCACAAGGAAACCCACTTGAGTAAAATTGAATAATTAAGAGGGGGCATCCTTCAGGAGAACAGCTGTTTTTCAAAGCAACAGTTGACTTTGCTCATTTCCCCCTTGGCATCCAACCAAATTAGCCTACTAAGCTCCTCAAATGAAAACCCTGGCACATGACAGAAGTATTGGTAACATAGGATTGGAGTGTGATATTCTGGGTCCTGAAAAAGTGGACGCAAAAAACAACATTGCATAAATCTGTACTATAGCAATGTCTAGTTCACGTAGTCGGTCAACTTTGGGAACCTATAGACAGCACAACACATGGCAATCGGTTGGCAAGCATCAAATGTGTACAAATAAGTACTGGGCAGCAAAACAGTCCTAATTGTGCTCATTAGAGCATGCAACAAGAGATGGCCCCCGCTTGCCAGGTGACACTGGCCTTGTTCGGCAGCATAAAGGTAGACGGAGACGTACACCAAGACTAAGCAGATTCACTTGTTGATGCAGAAACTGCTTTGTAGTTCTGTGCCTTATCAGCTAGCCTTAGTACACAGCATCTGGACAGTAGCCTCTGTCTCCAAAATGTTGCTCAGTGGGCAAAAGCACAATGCAACCTGTACCTACTACCAAGTAGGAACAAATGAATTCCCAGTGTACATTATACTTGAGGCCAATAGAAAGTCCATACAGAGAAAGACTGCTACCCACAAAAGTATCATCTTCCAGGGACATTAACAAGCCTCTCATATATAGTTAGAAAGCACATGTGTTGCATGTGCCTGTAATGTATATAGTTAGAAAGCACATGTGTTGCATGTGCCTGTAATGCACAAGCACAGAAGTAAGACAGCTACTGTATCTGGCCAACACACTGGAAAGGCTGAAGGACACCCCTGAAAACCTCTCTATATATGTACTACCTCTTCTTTTCCCCCAAGAACAGTTTCTTGCATGCAATTTAACCCTCAAATAAGGGCACCTCACTTATACAGACAATTTATTTTGTCCCACTGGCATCACAATTAGAGGGGTTCCACTGTAGTGTATCAACTTCCAGGAAAGCTATAGTTTTATTGATGCACTGTACATACCTGGCTCCAGTGCCTTCCTCCTCCCTCTCCGACTCCCCTGGAGACGAGACTGGGGACTCTGGCTGAAGGAACAGCTCCAGAAGAGCGGCGATTTCCCTCCGCCGTGCTTTGCTGGTCGACCGTTTCCTGGCCTCTCGCTGGAGTTTCAACAGGAGCTCGGGGTTCAGTAGAGGATAACACTGTCGGAGAGAGGCCGTGCTGAAATGGCCAGACGACGGGCGAGAGAGAGGGAGTGGCGTAGAATATACGTCGTCGTCTTCGTCGTCTTCGAGAGTTTGAGTTGACTGCGAGGCTGTGTGAAAACATGTACAATATGAAGTTTCTGAGTGCTTTTCAGCGTATAAAAATAAAATGCATATTTGAATCTACCTTATATCTGCTCACAATAAAACTGTGTACAATGAAAGCTGTGTAATATTTCTTACATACATAATGGTAGGAGGTCAAATGGTAGAAGGTGCTAACTGTAACATAAAACCTGTGACCTCTATTGTTTTACTAGCGAATCTTCCCGGTCAGCGATTATTTCACCGCAGCCACTGACCTTTCACGCAGGTGGCGCCCCACCACGGCAGCGCCAGCTTAGCTCTGCCCCGCTCCTTCGTCCATTCCCAGGCTACGGCCGCTCTTCTCCTTACACGACCCAAATAGTACAGTGGCAACCTGCACACACAAAGACATCGGCGGTAACACGTATGGCCACTTCACAAGGTGCTAACGAACACAGTCTCTGCACGCTGCACTAACGTAAACAGTTTGCAAAAGGCCACCGCTGGGAACAAGACCTGAACCGAAAACTCACCGGACGATCGCCAAGAGGCACGTCTTGACAAGAGACAGCAGCCAAAACAGTAGGAAAAACGGCAGAGTGAGGAGAAACCACACCGCTCTAAATGGAGCTGTCACAATAGAGCTGACGGTCACCATCTTCACCCAACAGCTAGGCCAAAGAGATCGCTTCAACAATCAGATGTTGTTGTATATATTCCGCGGCAGATATCCCTTCGTCTTGCAGCACTTCGTATATACCTGTGGTCGTCTACGTACGTACGTAAGAGCGAGCGAGCGAGCAAGCACAAAGCAGCACGAGCCAACGAGCGTTGTCGTCGTCGTCGTCCGGCTTCGTCTCTAGCTGTAGCTCTGCTTTGCGATCGATCAGCTTGGCTTCCTTGGCCGCATATAGGCGAGCGGCGCGCGCTTGGAGCCGTAAATTCTCCTCTCTAATTATGCGTTGAAGTGAAGAAAAAAGAAATGGCGACCCGAATCCCTCTCGGTGGTGCAGGCAGTTCTTCCTACATTCACAACTACCAACTCCAAGGACGCTATATACCTGCTCACCATAATGTGATGGTACGTTTCGTGCCGCATAGACCAGCACAAGTTCGTGTGTGTTCCGGAATGGGCCCCTTGCAACATAAGTGTGTGTGTGCGGGGTGATGTGTGTGTTGCTCCACAGACGGCCCATGGCTCGGCAGGAAGGCATAGTCTCAGTACCTCTCACAGCCGCAAGGTAGCAGGAGTCCAGCAGGGAAGAGTGAGTGACTTGGCCAAGAAGAGAATGGGCGAGGTTTCAGCCTGGGCCTCAAAGGCACAGAAAATGTGAGTGTGTAATCTCAATCGTTAAATTGTGCATATATCCATACTGCTTTCTCTCTCCTTTTGAATGTGTAGGAAAAAGAAACGTCTTGGCGACAAAATCCTATCTGAAAGGGTGGGTGTGATTATTATTGTGTTAGCCTGCATATAAATAGGTTAATGAAAGTGTCCTGCTTTGAAGAATGTACGAACACTGATTTTATGATCATATGTGTTCGTATACACCTATGCAGCTTGAAGTTCCACTCACAAATATATATACATGTACTACAGTGTACCCATTTTGTATGATAATACACACGCACCTGGTGCGCAGGTGAGGGATCTTGTACCGGAGTCTCAGGCCTACATGGACCTCCTGGTGTTTGAGCGAAAGCTGGATGCCACCATTGCAAGGAAGAGGCTGGAAATCCAGGAGATGCTGCGTCGCCCTCTCAAGGAGAAGAGGAAGCTGAGGCTCTTCATTTCTCACCATTTCTTTACCACAGAGCCCGAGTCTGGGGTGAGAGCTACATACGTGCTTAATGTAGTAATCAGAACTTCCAAATTCTTTTAGGGGACTATTATCGTGTTCTAGCCACACTGGCTATTGATATTACTGTTTACTGTATGCAAGCTTCATGTACTGTATAATGCGTCTCTGGTTCCGCCCGGTGTTCTGGGTGTGTGATGAGTTGCTGTATTACTGTAAGCAAGCACCTTTACCGTTTGTTTCACATGTCCACTTTGTGTCTGTGGGCTGTGCTCAGGAGGGACCTGGGATTCCACAGTGGGAACTCAAGATTGAGGGAGTCCTCTTAGAAGAGGTATGATAGTAACATGTCTGTCGTATATAGTCTTTGTATATACTATGAACCATTGATATTGATTTCACCTCAAGCAGGCCACGTAAAGTAGTGGTCAATTTTCAATTTGGCAAATCGTTGTGTGCATAATGGCCCTAAGTATGTTTGCCTTTTTTTTGGGTTACCCTATAAAGTGCACGTGAGCTATTCAGTGGGTTCCCTGCAGGGTGGAGCACAGGCAGACGCCAAGACCAAATCCAAGTTCAGCTCTTTCTTCAACAACGTGGTCATTGAATTGGACAAGGAGCTGTATGGACCGGACAACCACCTGGCAGAGTGGCACCGGTCCTCCTCCTCCTCCTCCTCCTCCTCTTCTTCTGCCGAGCTTGACGGCTTTACCGTGAGCTACTCTTATAGCGCATTACTGAACACCACTCGAGCTCACTAGCACTATTACTTTCATGTTGAGTTTAATGACGATGTGCAAACGTTCATGTCTAGGCGGAGTGCTTAAAGGCATACATAATTATGCAGTTTCAGAGTAGCTAACTTGGCAAGATCCAGATTGGCTATCACAAAAAAAATGGAGAGCCAAACCTGCAACCTCGTATTATACGTCACGTGTCTAACACGTGTAGCTAGCAGAATAGTATTGTATAGAGAGTGTGTGTAGTAGGTCCATGTATTCTGTATGGCCACAGGTCACCCGTCCGGGGGAAGGGACTGTCAAATGTACCATTCTTCTCACACTCAACTATCAGGTAGAACACACAACGTTATACATATAGCACACAAATAGACCTGTTGTGACATTTAGCCCATGTTTTATACTGCTGTTTTCTTGTTTCAGCCGATACAGTACAAACTGACCAGCAAACTGGCTAGACTGTTGGGAGTGCACACAGCTACTCGACCAGATATCATCAATGCCGTCTGGCAGTACATTAAGGTGAGATTGTTCTGTACACAGGCTTTTACTTGGGCACATACTCTAACACTTGTGGGTGTTTTGCTCTAGCGACTTTCATAACCTTCTCAGTGCATGAGAGAAATCTCTAGACATCTTCTCCTTCTGCCTCAGTCCAATAGGCTGCAAGATCCTCAGGAGCGAGAGTACATCAACAACGACAAGTACTTTCAGCAGATTTTTGAGGTGCCGCGAATGAAGTTTACTGAGATTCCAAACCGTCTTCAGGGCCTCCTGTCCTCCCCTGACCCCATCATCATCAACCACCTCATCAAGTACATGTCTCTCACTGCCACTTTCTTTCATTGATTCTTTCCCACAATTCCGTGTCCTATTTACCCTCTGCCAAGAAATTGGCAAGCGAAGCAAACCCACTTAGTCGTCTAAATTACACCACTGACTGCCCCACGACAATGCGGCATGCGCAAACATCGGATATATACAGCGATTCAAAGGTTGCTATATTTTTTAGTGTGTAGCTTTTTGTGCTTTTTCCTTCAGTGCTGATGCTCCTGACCAGAAGCGAACCGCTTGCTATGACATTGAAGTTGACGTTGTAAGTCCCAACCCCGCTGTGACAGTTTCTCTGCTATGCTCACTCTTTCTTCACTAATGCTCACCTGCTCCTCCATATCATAGGACAGTTCGTTGAAGTCTCAGCTACACTCTTTTCTCATGTCGTCTTCCAGTCAACAAGATGTCAATATCATGGACAATAAGGTACAATACCCGAAGGCAGGATACTCAATCAGTAAGTAATGTTTGATTGTTTCGCTGCAGATTCATGAAACTGTGGAGCAGATCAATGCAATCAAACTGCAGAGAGAATTTTATCTTGGATTTTCACACAACCCTCAGGTATATTTCTACTGTATTCTCAGTTTCGGTAAGGAGTGAGGAGGTGGGGGAGAGGGGTGGTTGCACTCACTCGGCCTACAGTTTCTGGTTACTTTCGAGTAGCGTTCCACCACCGTATAGCATTCATACTGCAATTACATTGGCTTGTGTTATTGCGTCATTTTCCCCTCAGAAATTCATCAATGACTGGTTGGCATCCCAGAGCAGAGATCTGAGAGTAAAGACCGCACTATACGTTGTCAGTTGCTCATGTTTTTTGTTTTTTTACCAACAACAGGTGATGAAGGACAAGATGGGTAACCCTGAGTCTGAGAGAAGGGCAGAGTTTTACCAACAATCCTGGTGCCACGAGGCTGTGCCCAGATACTTCTACACCAAGGTCTATAATTGTACCGTAATTCTGGCTGGGATCTGTAAACTTTCCTGGTTCCGTGGCAAAGTATAATTTGGTGAAGATGACTTTACAGTGCGCTTGTTCCACTCTGCAAAAAACTTAGTTTGCATTTGGGTGAAACCCCTCTCCATCAAAAGTTTCTCACTATACAGTAGCTCTTGGCGTGTCTTTGTGATATGTTGGTATGTTTTTTGCAGGTGGCCCAGCGCAAGACTGAACTCGAACAAGCTATGGGCATCAAACATCCATAGTGCCTCTGCTGCAACCGTTTCGATCCATGGACACTCAATGCTCTCACTGTTCACTCTCATGATGCACACAACAATTAAATTTATATACATTGTACACCTTGAATAATTCTGATGGACGTATACTAAGGTGACCTTGGTGGGTGTTGTGCAAGGGTTCCTATTGGTGACTGCCAACCTGTGACTGTGACTTTAACTATATTGACGTTCCACATGAAGAGAAAAAGATTAAAGTCACGATACACACAGCTGTGTAGAGCATACCTGAGCCAATCTATCTCGAATTGCTTCTCTTTCTTCCGTAGCTTTGCTGACAGCCTTCACCAGAGAAGGAGCATAGGACTAGCATTTGGCATCGACTCCAGACTTACTGAGGCTTCTTGGTCCAGCCGCCACTCTATCTCCTTCAGCTCCCACTCGACCTCCACCTTCTCTTTCTCTAGAGTTCGGAGGAGCTTCTTGAGTGCCAGCTGCATATATACATACACAACATCAGTATATAGATGCTCCATTGTACAATAACCCCAGAACCTTATAGCTACTTCATGCGCCGAAAGTGTGTGACCTATATAATTATTAACATGATATACCTGGGACATTCCATCATAGGCTTGTAGTCCTTTTGCTGGTCCCCCTTCTGAATTCAAAAAGCCATAATGTGTTTTTGAGTCTTGTAAGCACGTAAGCACTGGCATGGATGTAGCTATAGCTTATGGTGATGATGGCTTACCTCTATGTCCTTGTTTCTTGAAGAGCTCTTGCTGTAGATGCTCCACTTCACTCTCTAACTGCCTGTTTTTCTCAACTTCCTCCTCGTATTCTTCTCTTAGTGAGCCTTCAGGGTATATAGAAAAATTGGCTTTGGGTGAAAGAGTTACTATTACAAGTGTGTGAAACACTCAAAATAATGTAACCCTTACTGGGAACCGATTCTTTCTTCAGATGCTCCTCAAGGTCACTCACCATCTCTCTCATGTGTGACGTGGTCTGGATCAGCTTGTTCCTATTTGAAAGATTATGTCACACGAGAATAATGAAAAGCACTAAAGTGCAAGCCCTCGGCACACTGTGGAACCCATACACAAGTGTGGCACCACCACAATTGATGGTCTTGACCATGCATCAAAAAGAACAGCATGTTATGCACTATTTCCATGAAAAAATGGCCAGCCCCATTTCTGTTTGAGGCCCAAAAAATATATAAGGTTGAAAAATTGCCAACCTTTCATCTCTCTATTAATTTTCGCATTACCTGTGGATTGTTTAGTGCAAAAAAAAACTTGGTAAAAAATTAAAAACACCCCAGCCCTTCATCTCTCCAGACAGACGTCTACGGACGCAGTGCAATGCCGAACTATACGCTGCCCTTTGAGAAACATGGGTCAGTGGTAGATTTGTGGGTAAGGGGAGGAACCAGAGCTGTTCCCAGCCAATGCTCTGGACCACCTGACACTTTAGTGTGGGATCGAGGATTCGAACCGGGCACCTATGGTGTCAGTCCCCACGACTCTAACCACCTAGCCACTCGGGCTGGCCTTGAGAGGTGATGAAAAAACGTTCCAGTTATACCCAACAGCCAACACTCCTATTACATCATTGTAAAAAGGCGCCCGTGTGGTAGATGGTATCGTTTCTGGGACGAACAGACACCCGAGAAGTGAGATTGAGAGTAACAGACACACAGACAGACAGACAGACAGACAAACCCAACTATACAGTATATACCCTCGCTGCGCATGCGCGCCGAGGGTAATAATTCTGCTGCTTTCCTTTCTTCTGTACATCTGTGAAGCTCATCTTTTAACTTTGCTACATGCAATGCAGCTTCTCCATCACCTTCAGAGCTCATTTTGCGCCTGTTCTCTTACGCATGCGCAAAAACTGTCGCCGTTTTGCGCATGTGCATACGAGCGTGCAGTTTACGGAGGTTTACGGAGTTCTCGTGGCAGTATGACAGAGGGAGAGAGAGTAACCATTCACGTACCTGAAAACTGCGAAGAGGAGGGATGCTTCCTTGGTTAGTATTTGTGTGCATACCCCTCTTATGTTGTGTGTGTAATGGCCACCAGTGAGTTTTGCCAACGGCCAAGTGAGGCCGACCTCCTCTGCCAGGGATACAAAATTCTCTCTCTATCACAAGGGAGGCACTGCCAGCAAGAAAAGAAAGATCATAGTGAGCTGATGGGGTATTGCTACACTATGTTGGTCTTGTGCTCTAGAGAAGGGTCTGGGCTGAATGTACTGTATCTAGTAATAGACGGAGGAGTAGCACTATGTATTGATTTTTGAGCTAGACCACCAAATTTGAAGCTCACACATCTACAAGCCGGTTTCAACACTAAATTACTGATGTTTATTTTGAGCTAGACCACCAAATTTAAAGCTCACACATCTACAAGCCAGTTTCAACACTAAATTACTGATGTTGATTTTGAGCTAGACCACCAAATTTAAAGCTCACACATCTACAAGCCAGTTCAACACTAAATTACTGATGTTGATTTTGAGCTAGACCACCAAATTTAAAGCTCACACATCTACAAGTCAGTTTTAACACTAAATTACCCATCTGAGTAATAATTTTACGCCCGGCTTACTTTCCCAGCCTTCCACCCCAATCTCACATACTTGCAAGTACTGTTGCTGTGACACTGCAGGTAGCAGAAACAGACAAGATGAGTTACGTTGGAACAAACTATGACGAAAACAGCCAAACGTCCAGTGCTAACTTGTGCAAGTTAGCAGCAATAATGCTCACATGCTGTTTAACCCATTCTGGTTCAGGTATTACATAGGCGCCGTGGATAGGGATAAAGGGACCATGACTATACACAGAGCAGAGCTGATGCACCTGAGACCATACATACCTGGTAAGGATACAGACACGTCTCTACAAGTTGCAATACCTCCGTTTCAAATCTACCTTGTTGCATGAACCAGTTGCATGAACAACAGGATGTAAGTATAAGGCAATTAAGTTGGAAAAAGTTCTATGACGTGAGGAGAAAACTATGAACTGTCAATAGTGTCATGGACTGGTGTGGAAAGTTCGTAGTTCTTTCATTCTTTCACTCCTCCTTGATTTGTGCAGGAAAAACGGACCTAGGCCTCGGTACGGAAGAGGCTCCAGTAAAGAGGGAGAGGTCTGAAGTACAGGATGAAATGGTGGCCCTGTTTGGCAGCGAGAAACAGAAGCGAGCGTTTGCTGCCTACAAGAGGAACAAGGTTGGCAGCGAAGCACTCCAGACGGCCCTGGCCACTGCTGTTACTCACGCTGAAGCCAGCTTTGAGGCGGTCGAAGAAGGTAAACTGTTTGTACATGAGTTACAGTTTGCTGTTGAAAACATTGCCCCTACTGTAGCACCTTTGGCACAAGGGTCAGGACTGGCTCCACCGTTCAACCCACAAGCAGAGGTTCCACGGGATGTATACAAAATCAATGACAGTATCCTTAGCTCAGTATATTATAGTTTGCACCCTCTCCACCTTTTACCAGTATGATAATGTGTTATTACACAACCAATATACACAAGATAGACTGTATATATTTGTTGCAGTGCCGAGACAGGACAGCATGAGCCCTGTAAGGGCGAATGCTGTCCTGTCTCGGTACTGCAACAGATTTGTTGGATATCCCTAGGCAAATGAACCCTGCTTGCACATGTAGGATTGTATAGGTTGATAAAATCGAGTAAATCCCCCAATACCTAGCTTCATACATGTCGGTTGTCTAGGGATATCCAACGAATACTTCTACTGTATTTTCATGCAATATATTGCGTGGACAATCACACTCTTATACATTGCAGTTGTATGAGACTTTTGTTCTGGTAATGAATGTTAGATGTACATAGGGACTATGATATGGAATACCCTAGCTGTTTGAATTCCTGCTGTATGATACACATACAATCCAAGCCACAGAGTTGCTTTCTTTAACCTTACACCTCATTAAATAGTCATCTCTCTAGAGGATCTGAGGGCTGTTAAGGAGACGGGGAAAGTGCTTACGTCGGCCTCAAGAGAAGAACTTGAACAGTGGAGAGACAAGGCCACGTATGAAACATGCTTTCAGTGACATATCCAGATAGAACCTCCAATCAATTCGTATAGTAATTCGGGCACTTTTCTGCATCGTGTTCTTACTAACCGCAACACCTGTGTAATACCAGTCTGAATCATGACACTGGGCATGCAGCCACTCTCTTTGTGTGTTGTGTATTTCACAGAATCTATTTTCTGCAGTTACCCTGGCTATGTTCTCAGTCGTATTCCAAGTATTCCGTCTTCGGAACCGGAACGTGGTCTGAAGGCAGCTATTCTGCTCTACTGTGGCTGGCTCATTCAGATGTACATGAAAAACCAGAGAGACTTGGAAAAGAAAGGTTTGTGTGTGTGTGTCTTGTAATGTTTACTACCTTTATGGACTTTTGTGCTCCCTTTTTCTACGGTTGCACGATTTCTATACTGTGCTTACGCTTCTATTATAATGAAAAGCACTGAAGTGCAAACCCTCGGCGAACTGCGCTTGCGCGATACCGCTAAACTGATGGGCGGGGCCGATAGCCCCGTACGTACGTAGTATGCGTTTACTCGTGGCTCTCCTGACTAGTCAGCACCGTAACCCTCGCTGTCGCATTGCACGCCGAGAGTGAGGGTTAATAGATACATGTAGGTCGTACTTCAGCTGCTGACCTCTGAAGTGACAATAGACATACAGAGTGTGACTAGGACAAATTAGAAGATCGCCTGTACGACCCAGACGTACGTAGGCGCAAGAGTGCACTAGCTTGTTCAAACATCGACGGAGTTGAGGTTCAGAAGTCAAGCAGAAACACGTCATGTGTGCACGTACCGTTCTTACATACACTGGCGCGTGCTTTGTTGCGCTTTGGCCTGTGGGCAATAATAGAAATCATGTCCGCCATCACTCATTTGCCGCGCGTCGCGGTCAGTAGTATTCTGGGTGGTTAGGTTGGTGTGGGTGTAGAGAGGTATGGATGAACACAGGTTTTGTGCAGGTGTCTGCAGGAGGCCCTTACGCGCCTCAAGCGCAATGCAATCCACTGTGAGACTAATATATTATTGCAGGCCAACTGTACGTCTACTATCATCGCGTGTCGGTATATTTGGTCGGTTTCGGTATAAGTTTCTCAACACCAGCTACCCATAACCGTAGTATGTATTTGTACTTTAGCAAGGCAGCAGTCGAAAGGACAGGGCACCCAACATCCCGAATACCTACGGGTATGCACGTTTTGACTATGGGGTATGGGTAATAGACCTTCGTTCACTTGGGCAGCAAAAGCAAAGTAGTAGGGGACGGGACAGGCCAACCACGTCTGAATCTTTTGACTCTATAGCTGGTCGGTGTGGACACGAGTGCGATGTGGTAACTAGA